CCTCGTGAGCTTTTATGGCAAAGATTGCAAACCATTGGAGTACCATCAGATCTCTTGGCAGCGGTGGCTGCATTATACCACTCAGTTCGGGCCAAGATCAACACTTCTCAAACCGAAGAGATTATCAGCACCATTGGAGTCATTCAAGGTTGTCCTCTCTCTCCCACTCTCTTTGGAGTTTTCATAGATGATATAGAAAGGTGGTTGGAGGATTGTGATAGCGAAGGTGTTAAACTTGGAGGCTTTGTCATCAAAGCTCTTTTGTATGCAGATGATGTCATATTACTAGCACGTGATGCCACTAGTTTACAGAAACACCTCAACACTTTGGCTAGCTTTTGTACTCAAAATGAGATGGAAGTCAATTTGGAGTGTTTCAGTCAAAAACTTGGTGACCACACTCTTCAACTCTTCCTTCTCAGATTTAGGTAGACCCGAAATCCTCACATTCTTCATACGAGCAAATTGATTAGCCTTTTCAATCTCTTGCTCTTGACAGAAAGAGATATGAGCAGACTTGGTAGCTTCAGCATAGGACTTCATTTTCACCTCTAGAGTTTCAACCACTTCATGCAAAGCAGGAGTAGTAACAGTAGAAGCTTGAGAACCAACCTTGTCTTGAATGTCCTCAACAGATCCAGAGATTTGGAGCATGATCTTCTCAAAAATTTTGTGAGAAATCTTCAACTCCCTGATTTCATTCTTTGCAACAGCCAAGGCAACATTTTGTGCCTTGAATTCTTGGCGTAGCACTTTCAATTCTTCCAAAACCGTTTGCACAAGATTGAGAAGTTTGTTTTCAGAATCCATCATGAACCCAACTTTGCAAGATGTTACACAAGCTCAAAGTTTCGAAAGGAAAACTTCTTGACGGCAGCTCCGTTGGGGCTGAAAATTTGCAGGTATGTGCTCTCGGCCGTGGTGAACAAGCTCATAAAATCTCAACTCCTGTTGACACTCCAGCAAGAAGATATGGCCCCCGCAAGATTCATGCTCAAACCCCTAAACTCAAAGTTTCGAAAAAGAAGAGAAGTCAAAAGTCATTCTTGTGGGTACTAGATCCAAGCTCTCTTTCTGTTACAAAGGATTAGAGTTGGAACAAGTGAAAAGTTACAAATATTTGGGCATTGATTTCTCATCTGATTATAGTTGGGCACTTTGTGTGCAAAAGAGGGTAGAAGCTGGTTTCAAAGCTCTATATTCATTGCTAAATAGATGTAGAGGAGCTCATCTAGTGTCTTGGAGTTTTAGGAAATTCTTATTCAGGAGCTTAGTGTTTCCCGTTATCTTATATGGAACACAAGTGTGGGGTCCTGGTTGTAAGAAGACAGGTTGGCAGCATTTGGAGAGGGTGCAAAAGATCTTCTTACAAGAAGAATTGGGTGTGAGGACCCAAACTTCTTATGCAATTCTTCTTGCGGAAACAGGTTGTCTACCTCTTGAGGCTGAAGCTCTCTTTTCGACTATCACTCACGTCAAAAGAGTGAGATCTCTTGATGCTTCTCGACTTCCTCTTGAAGCTTTGCGTGCCACACGTCCCAAGGGTTGGTTTGCAGATGTGGTGACTTGTCTTTGAGATGGAATGTGACGGAACTCGATTGGAATTTGCAACCTATTGCCCTACGCGAGCGTATTAAGGAGGAATTTCTTAGCATTATGTGGAGCACACGAGGCACCAAGATGCAGTTTTATCAACTTCATGTGAACCCTATGCTTGTTTATTGTGAGCAAGTATATTTACTTGCAGAGATATCTACTTCTTTACGTCATATTATTGCTAGACATAGAACTGGATCTCATAGTCTTGGGATTGAAGAAGGGCGTTGGTTGAACATCGATAGGAGTGAACGTATTTGTAGGCTATGTGATGGAAGAAAAGTTGAGGATGAAGAGCATGTATTTCTTACTTGTACTAGGTATGTAGAGATTAGAGTGGCTCATAAAGTTGTTGTTGAGAATTTTTATTCTTTGCTTCAGCTTGAACCTTATGATTTAGGTTGTTACATTAGGGTTGTTATTAGTTATCGTTCTAGTGCTTTGGACTCTAGCTAGGGGGTTCTTTTGGTTCTCTCCTTGTTTGGAGTTGGATTGTTTGTATTGTGTTTTTTAGCCTTTTGACCATTTGGGTCCCACGGGCTTGATCTATTTACCATTTACCAATACTTGTTTTTCTTCTACAGGTGTTAGCACCATTGATTATCTTCTATTCTCAGCCACTCATAGCTGTCTTATTTCAAAATTTGATATTCTAGAACCTCAGCCAAAGTCAGATCATGCACCTCTCTTATTTACTCTCTTGTTATCAAAAACAATCCCTCTCTCTCCATGCCATTCTGTTTTAGCTTCTCCGAAGTTTCTTTTAGATCCTAGTAAGAAAGAGCAGTACATGTTACATTTTCAAAACCTTTTAACTCACACTTCATGGAGCCTTGATCCACATACAGCGAGTGGGCAATTAATAGAGTTGCTCAAAGACAATGCTTCTAAGTTCTTTTTGCGGCACAAGGATCAAAGAGCTAGGGGGCTTCCTTGCAATGGATGGTTTGACTTGGATTGTAAGCAAGCGAGGATGAGATCAGTTGACAAGTCTTTGGATTTCCAAAGTCGTCTTACCTTGACAAGGCTTTACAAAGACTTGGTGAAGTCTAAAAAACGAGCTTTTTTGAGTACGAAGCAGGAATCCTTGACAAAGGAGTTGATGGAGAATCCCAAATACTTTTGGAGACGGTTAGCTGTAAGGTTTTTGAAACCTCCTCTTGATCCCGAGAGTTTGATTGACTTTGCTGAAAAGCTTTATTTCTTTCCCAACGCTGCATCAATGCCTTGTTGTGAAGGAACATCAGGCTTATTTTCTGAATCAGAGGTGATGACTCAAGTTAGAAAACTAGCAAATGGTAAATCAGAGGATTTGGATGGTCTTTCTATTGAACTTTTGAAGTGGGGAGGAGATGTTATTGGACCAAGACTCACCAAAGCGTTAGAGAATGCAGCTACGTATGGTTTTCCTTCAGCTTGGTCATTACGGAAGATTGTGCCTATTCACAAGTCAGGAAGGAAGGACTTGGTGACAAACTATCGCACTATCATGATGGGTAGTGTTTTTGCGAAGTTGTTTGGCAAATTGGTAGAGTCAAAGTTGAGTACATGGACTGAATCTCATAGAAAGAGAGCGCGGTTTCAAGGAGGATTTTGCCCCACATACAACACCATTGACCATATCTTGGTTTTGCGTGTTTTATGGGAGAAGTCAAAGGGCAACGGCAAAGCTTTGTTTTGTGCCTTCATTGATTTCTATGTGAATCCTTCATGTGAATCCTATGCTTGTTTATTGTGAGCAAGGATACTTACTTGCAGAGATATCTACTTCTTTACGTCATATTATTGCTAGACATAGAACTGGATCTCATAGTCTTGGGATTGAAGAAGGGCGTTGGTTGAACATTGATAGGAGTGAACGTATTTGTAGGCTATGTGATGGAAGAAAAGTTGAGGATGAAGAGCATGTATTTCTTACTTGTTCTAGGTATGTAGAGATTCGAGTGGCGCATAAAGTTGATGTCGAGAATTTCTTTTCTCTGCTTCAACTCGAGCCTTATGATTTAGGTTGTTACATTAGAGATATTATTAGTTACCGTTCTAGTGCTTTGGGCACTAGCTAGGGGGTTCTTTTGGTTTTCTCCTAGTTTGGAGTTGGATTGTTTGTATTGTGTTTTTTAGCCTTTTGACCCTTTGGGTCCCACGGGCTTATCTATTTACCATTTACCATTTTAAGAAAACTTTTGACACCGTACCTCGTGAGCTATTATGGGAAAGACTGCAAGTCATTGGAGTACCATCAGATCTTCTAGCAGCTGTGGCCACGCTTTACCAATCTGTTTGAGCCAAGATCAACACTTCTCAAACTGAAGAGGTTTTGAGTACCATTGGAATGATTCAAGGTTGTACTCTCTCTCCTACTCTATTTGGAGTTTTTATAGATGATATCGAAAAGTGGTTGGAGGCGTGTGATAGTGAAGGTGTCAAGCTTGGAAACTTTGTTATCAAAGCTATCTTGTATGCATATGATATCATATTACTAGCACGTGATGCAATTAGTTTATAGAAACACATGTGGTATGGCCACCTCAACGTTGAGTGAAAACACATGAGGATGTTTGCCCGTGATTATCATTAGTCTAGATTACTTAAAGGCTCTTTCGGCCACTCATTATCATCTTTTCTAATGTGATCAATTCAGTTAAATGGAGAGATGAAAGCTATGTTTGCCCGTGATTATCATTATTCTAAACCCTTATAGGCGCTTTCGGCTACTAATAATCACCTTTTCTAGTATGATCAATTCAGTTGAGTGGAGAAGTGGAAACGAAACCACCAGTTGATGCCGAGTCATGGCTACCAACGCAGATTGCGTTATGTGTTTACGTTTCCTACATTCAAAGTTTACAGTAGTATATATACTTTTCCTTCAGTTCCCTTGTATCAAGTCTGTCGATCTTTGTTTCGAAGAACTTTTCATCTTGGCTTGAAAGGGATTCGCGTTAGATTTGCGTTATATTCTCAGGTTAGTTAGTAGCTTCCGTTCGCCACTTCTCTAAATTCTGTTCTTCCAACGCGAAATGTACCCTTCCACATTGCAATCATAATCAGACAAAATGATGGCTCCTCCGATAGGTGAACGTACTTCTCGCCGTGTGATCTCATAGGCCACATCTGCATTTCTAACTGACTAGAGCAGCTATACACGATCGGCCGTTTGCCAAGCCACAGATTATTGTGCCTGCCTACTTTTCCATTTTCCAGATAATTAACTTTCTGGCAAATAGAAACGTTCAACACTCGTTGTTGAATGATATCAGTCGAGTTTCGTACTAACTACACTTGGAGAAGTGCAGGCTCGCAAAATCCCACGACACGGGATTAAATCGCGCTTGTCACTGTGTAGAACTATACGACGGAATGCAGCCCAGACTTAACACGATGTCAACAAAAGAACCAGGGTGTCTATCAGTTGAGTTAAAAGGACATATTGCTTACGTATACAGCAGTCATTCGTCTGAATACTCGACTTCAATCTCAACAAGTACAAAGGAGAAATTTACTCCTGAGTGGCAATAGGTTCAACCAAAGAAGTTGTCTAATGCCGTCGGGCTAATGATGTACGACATCGGCCTCTCAAGCTTTATAATGCTATAGCCCACGGACAAAGCCAACTTCTTGGTCCGGTGGCTTCCATCAATTACATCCCACCTCGTCTGCTTGCTAGAAAGGAGCTTCTAGTGAGAATTTACGGGTCAACATATTGATTAAACAATACTTTCCGTTCTACACGGCTGAAGGGAATGTATTTGACATTATAGGGGATAAATCCTGCCCAATATTCACTTAGTTCTCGGTTTGCTCCCTCAGCCTCCTGATAGTACTGCGTACCGTGACAGCAGAGGCCGTACTGCGACACAAAAACACAACGTTGAGGTTAGGCCGTACTGCGTCACAATAACACTTGCTCCAGCTTAGGGTTCGCGCCGGACAAGCATCCAAAAACAGCATAACCTTGCGCGAATCAACACTTACTTCAAAGTGTAAGCTCCTCCAGCCTTCACCTTTCCACAATCCTTACAGTTCCAGATACCGACAGCCTTTCTCTTCACAGCAAACTGCACACCGAACAAGAACAGAGTGAGTTGCGCTAGACAATGTTTCAATTTCTGCAAATTGGACGTCAATAAATAGTATCTTTTCGAGAGTAAAGTACAACGGCTTAACCCACCTTGCCGCAAAACTCGCAGAAATACTTGGAGTGCTGACTGACCTCCATCTTCTTTATCTGCTTCCTCAAACTCGCACCATACCTAGTACCTGAAAGTCAGGCGATCTCTTATCAGTGAACGTGCCTTCGGGTCACCCATGGCTGAGTGGGTGACATATGATGGCCAAACATGCACTGAACTAAGCTCAGTTCGTGTTTGGGCTCAGTGAGTTGGTGACTGCTGGAAATTCTGACGTTCATGTGGCCTCGGCACTAAAATGCGAGTTACCAAAAGAACCTCACGCTGCTCACAACAGCAGGTCCGACGTAATTGATCAACCCTTCATGTTCATCTATTTGAAAAAAGAAGGCATCAGTGGCTTGCAAGTATGATCCAATCAACCAGAACTAGAAATAGTTCTCAGAGCACATACCGTATTTGCCGACGATTCCGGCCTTCTTGGTACGCTTGGTCTGCCAACAGAAGTGAATGCATTAACAAGTGGACCTCACAGATAACAACAGACGCTCTTCTCCATGCTTGTGTAAGTAGGCTTCGGTCCTGTTGTTCAGACTTTGTATCGTTGACACATGTCCGTTCATTACCAAAAAGAACTGATGGAAAAATTCTTGACACTTTTGGAGAACTCGTCCATCTAGCGAGAATCGAACTTCGCTTGCACGTTGAGTAGACAGTTCCCACATCTTTCTCATGATTATAGTGATTCCTCCTTCCATGCCTTAAAGAGTCCTGATTGTAGTGGGGTTCATATCAATGTAGAGAGAGAGGATGACTATGACACAGAATTGTTGGTCATTAAACAGCAACCTCTGGTTGCTGGGAGTAAACTGGTTCCCTGAACCGGCTCTGTTCCATTGATCAAGTCTGTCTATTAAGAAGATCAGCTTCTCAAATCACAAATCCTAGTGATGAAGGTCAGGAAAACCTAAATGGTAGACATTTGACAAATCCAAAAACCCTAAATCCCCCGGACGCAAGAAAATGTCATACATTTGCGTCGACACGGCAACAGAGGCAATATGCTTGATTCTGTAACTGTACAGTTCACATGACAGTGTACAGTGCGCTAGAGAGGGATTAACAAGTCATCACACGAGCAGCCACGATTACTCCAATCCGCAGAGCAAAGCACCCAAACATTGGAGAGATTCATTCGCGGCAAGAGTCTCCTTGACAGATAAAGTCCAACTTCTTCACAAAAGGGCGGTGACATCCGCGTATTGTGCATGCCGGGAAGCGAAAACCTTCACCAGCTCTGGAAACGCAGACATCATAGGGCAAAGACATAGAGACTACAATCAAATACGAGCAAATGTGTACCATATTCACGGGTTGAAGGGTATCGCGAAGAAACTTGCAGGGTTGAACGACCCGAAGGTTCTTCTCGGAAGAGCAGCGCCGCAAAGCTCCGATTCTCCGATGGACAGTCGAAAAGGGAGTGGCTCAACTCCACAGCGGGCTAGTAACACCATATGGCGAAACACCCCGTAGGGTTTCGCCAACTCTCACTGAAAGACCTTCAGAACATAAAGACATCTCTCAGCTAACTTAGAACAGGCGAAACTCCGCTTGGATAATGGATTCGTGCCCTAAACCCGAAAACATCTCTTGGACACATGTTGCGCCTGTTTGGAAGAGCTCTAAGTAACTCTAAATTTGGCGGCTTTCTCGCTGCGGCTTGCCAGGAGGAGAGTCAGCAGACATTCCCGAAGCCTCTTTGACTCTCTCCATTCTCTCCCTCTATCCACGACCTCCTCGAAGCTCCGATCAAGTCGATCAGCGATGGCGCTGCTTTGCGGTCGTCGAATATGGTTCCATTCTTCTGCGCGCGGAATGCGCAATGTAGCTTTGACGACGCCAGTTTTTCCGTGCTACAACGCACATTTCAGAAAACTTCGAATTGTGCATGCTGGGGCGAGCACATCTGCGCCTCCTTCGACCTCCAAAACCACTAATTCGGAGACGAAGTCTGAGGTTTCATTCGTTGCATTGACCCCGTTGGAAAGGTTGCGTGCGAGGCAGCTGCGAGATGTTCCCAGGCCCCCCGGAAGGCTTTCAGGCAAGGAAGAGTCAGCGAAACCTGTTTCCACTCCTCTGGCGCAGTCGTTTGAGCAGCTTGGGTTGAGCGATGAGCTCATGTCAGCTGTGATTGAGTTGGGAATTTCGAAGCCTACTGAGGTTCAGAGTTTGGGAATTCCCGCTGTCAGTAATGGGGAGAGCGTCGTATTAGCGTCACACACCGGTTCGGGGAAGACGCTTGCGTATATGCTACCGATTGTTCAGGTTTGAATTTATTCTGTGTAATTGTGTCACCTCCTCCCTTCGATCGATCATTATGGTCTAGTGTCTCATGTATGTATCCGTAGAAAGCATAGAATAAAGGAGGATGGAATTATGTTTTCAACAATAAGTTGGAGGTGTTTGGTTATGTTGTAGTGATTTACACTCAAGTCTCTGCTCACCCTCGTGTTGTATCCAGTGATAAAAATGTAGTACCTGATTTCATAGGTTCCATCTCGACGGACAGATGCAGCCTATAAGCACTGCATGAGAAAATTATCGCTCCTAGCGTGCATATCGCTTTGTATCTCATCACGTTTGCTAGCTTTGATCGGCTGTATAGTTAGCATCGTGTGAGTTGCTTTCTTCTTTGTCCCTTTTTTATCCGAGCTCCCATCCCCTCGTCTAATCTGACATGTATCATTTGTCTGTGTTCGACATATTTTCAAGCACTACCAAGTCTGAATTTTCATCTGGCGTCTTTAAACTCTCATGAGCTCCACATGAGATGACGCTGTGTCTACTCACCACTTGTGAACGATTGACCATCTTTGCTTTGCCTGCTATGAGGAACATTCCTATGCTGAAGAAAAATCACCGCAGAAGGATTCATGACGTGAAGTCTCGACGTCAGTTTGATTTTCAATTAGCTTTCTTGTGAATGATATTGATCCGCATGGAAATCTCGAATGGGAAAATCTTGAATAGAAGGCACAGCAGTAGACACAACTACCTTCCGAATAAAGTCTCTCCATCTTCTTCGCGAGTCTTTTTGAACATTAAGGAAATGAAGTATTGGCTTCTTTCTGTCCCAGGCTCTGAGAAGAGACGAAGCTGAATCTGGCAAAGCCACGAGAGCTAGAAGGCCTCGAGCTGTAGTTCTCTGTCCTACCAGGGAACTTGCGGAGCAGGTATCACTTCCAACCGATTTAGCTACATCTGTTAGAAGCTCTGTTGAACCATAATGTTTGATCGTGACTGCATTCAAGGAACCACACACACGACAGTTGTTAATCATGACTTTTAGGGATGTACCAAGGAATGAATCATATTTAACCATATGATTCACTGGTTCAGGTGTTTCATGTCGCGAAGTCTTTGTGTCATCATGCTCGTTTCCGAGCTGCCATGATCGGTGGAGGATTGAAGATGAAGCCTCAAGAGGATATCTTGAACTCAGCTGTAGATATGGTTGTGGGTACCCCTGGAAGGCTTTTGATGCATGTGAAGGAGGGCCATATGGCCTACGGTGATATCAAGTATGTGGTGAGCTCTCTCACCTTGATGGGTCTTTTATAACTCGTATGCCATGCCAAGTACTTTCCCCGCCGAGATGAGTACTGCGGAGAGGGATCTCAACATTAGTGAACCTAGGTAAATCCATATGTGCGAAGCCCGGAAAGCTCGTAGGTCTTTCACGTCTTTCTTTGAGGGATGGTCATTAAGAACTTACTTGGCTATGCAGGCGTTGGATGAAGCAGATACTATGTTCGATCGTGGTTTTGGACCGGAAGTTCGTAAATTTTTAGGGCCCCTTCGCAACCGTTCTTCGCAACCTGGTGGAACGGGGTTTCAGACTGTCCTAGTAACAGCAACCATTACTAAGGTTTGTCTCTTTGTCGCAATTTAGGGGCGTTCAGACATTGACAAGGTAGCTACATGCCGAAGACTATTTCCTTTATTCGAAATCATCTCAACACGTTCAGTCAAATTTGGGGTGTGCAGGCAGTTCAAAAGGTTCTTGATGAAGAATTCCCTGGTATCAGACACATTCACACATCTACTCTTCACAAGAAGGTGTCTTCTGCCCGTCATGACTTTTTAAAACTGTCCGGCACAGAGAACAAGCTCGAAGCTCTTCAGCAGGTATATTTTAACCAGCTTCTTTTATGGATATCTGATTTCAGGAAAGCAAGAGCCCCAACAGATGGCTACCATGTTGACCAACTCTCCTTTTTCCGTGTGAGCCAATGGAGATACCCAATTTCGTGCAGAAACTCCATTCACTTGTTTTTTGGGGAAGAGCTGACATCTCTATGTGCCCAAACCTGAAGGTTTTAGAACCCAGTCTTGCTAAAGGCAATCGAGTGATGGTCTTCTGCAACACACTAAACTCTTGTCGTGCGATTGACCATTTTCTGCGAGAAAATGGCATCCAGACAGTGAATTATCATGGAGAAATCCCCGCTGAGGAGAGGTAAAGGTGTAACCCGCTATGTACTTCAAAGCAACGATTTCACAGAAGCCTAGCGTTTATTTATTTTATGGCTATTGGACCATCCAATCTTCATATAGATAGGATGATGTGCAAAATGATTATTTTCTTGTCGTTTTGGTATTTCAGCGAGCAGTATAATTTTTGTGTCCTATCTTGCTGTAGGCTGACACTTTCCTGCACTTTCCTGTAGAGTTGAAAATCTTAACAAATTTAAGGAAGAGACGGGGGCTCGCTCGTTCCCGGCCCTTGTGTGCACTGATTTGGCTGCTAGAGGCCTGGACCTTGTCGTGGATCATGTTATTATGTTCGACTTTCCTTTGAATCCGGTAAAGGAATCTCTTCTTTCACCTTTATTCATATAAACAAACAAACAGTTCTACTGTATTCACAAATATTGTGATACCTCTCCTAGGCCCGTCACATGCGAGTAAAAACTCCTTACTTACGTGATAAGTTCTACTTAGAGTTAGTTTTACTTAAGACAGCTAGAGGACAACGATGTGAAGAACTGCTTGCTGAACTCTATCATGCGTGAGTATCGTCGATTGGTTTTCAGTGAATTCGCCTCCTCGATTGAACGTCGTGTTATAGACCATTGATGTAATTTTGTTCTTTGTTGTCTCAGGTGGATTACCTCCACCGCACGGGAAGGACAGCTCGCATGGGTGCTAAAGGTGAGGAGTCAGTTTTGAAAGTCAAACAGACTCGTTTCAGAGTTTTCGAATGCACAAGTTTTCAGATCATAAATCCGAGTGGGCATTTCAGTAACTTGCCCGTGCAATGAAAATGCAGGTAAGGTGACAAGTTTAGTCACGAAAAGGGACTCCACATTGGCCGGACAAATAGAAGACGCTATGTCGCGGGGAGAATCGTTAGAGGCATTGACATCCAGCAGGGAGAAGGTCGCAGCTATGAAGCAGCAAGAACTCGAAGTGAGGCAAAGGCAGAATTCCAAGGAAGCTGCCAGCAAAGGCAATTTCAGGGGATCTAAAAAGAGAATTTTAGCCTCACCGAATGCTAGTAAATCGTTCCAAGCACCGAAAGGTTCACGGGGTAAAGCAAGATTTGAAGGTGTTAGCAAGCAGGTAGAAAATGTTACGAAGAAAAATTCTGGATTTTTTATAAGAAAGAAGTAAATGCAATTGACTACGTCTTCTCGACAATGTATGCAATGGAAGTTTTGTCACGTCGCCTGCACTCTTTCATTGATGAAGACGATAATACCCGAAACAGCCCCTCGGTAATATGAGGCACTCGATCATTGTACACTAGGTAATAGCCAAAATTGTCCCAACTTCTTTCCTCCGTCGTTAGGTCCCCGTGATGCAGCACCTTCGATTCCGAGAGGAGTTTTTAAATGACACACCAGCCGTAGGGTAACTGGGCGGTAGGCGGTAGCAAAGAGCCAGGCATCGTTCTATTGAACGATGGAATATGGAACGTGTGCCTCACCAATGAACTAGTTGGTTCACGCAAACGCTCTTGTCGAGCTTCCTGAAACTTCCGGCTTCAGTATCGAGGTGAAAACTCCACGTAGGTCGTGTTTGCACTCTTTCGGAACTGAGATGACAAAACCATTGATCGCTGCCCACATAGTCGCGGACAAGCTCTCCTGTTGCAAACCAGCAGTCTATCGTGAAGAACGACACAGTCACCACTGTCCACCTCTTCCTTCACTGTGTCACAGTCACCATTGTAGACGAGTCAAAACCTTGTCGTGTTGTCCAGGAGTTGGTCTCGAGTCTCGACCATCCGGCAACCAACTCACCGAGAGCCCGAGACCACTTTCTTCAAGTTCCGGGTAGTCCGAAGGAGTCGACGGACGGAAGGAAGGGAGGGAGAAAGAGTTGGACAGCGTAGGGCCCGTCGAGTAGATCGTGATGTGCCATCACCCCATTAAAACAGCGCTTGCGAATGACGGATTCCGTGCAGTGTGACAGCGGGACGCCTTTCTCAAGCTTGCTCCAAGCTTCATAGAGGTAAGGGGAGTGTGAACTTTGCAGCAAAACTTGCCATCTCAGATGGCCGACTTTCCAAATATTTACCCATCCCTCGCGATTCCTAAATAGTTCGTTGCTGATGAGAACGGCCCCTCCCTCTTTCCAGTGGTCTTGTTCCTCTCGCTCTGTTCAGCTTCTGCTTCTACTACTCCACATCCTCTACACGTTCACGCCAACTTCTAAACGAATCTTTTTCTGCCTCTTCTGTTCTCAGCTTCCTCTCTCTTTCCCGTCTCTGAAGTCTCTCTGAATTTAGCGTCCTCTGCGCGGCTTCCCCTTTGTCAACCGGGAGGGTTGAGCGCGAATTGGTGCCGCTTCCTCCTGAAAGTGTTCGTCAGAAACAACCGTGTTTAATTTTCCTCAGGTCATTCTCCTTAGGGATCTGGTAAATTATCCACTGTGTTTGTGCCCGTATCTCCAGAGATGTAGATGATAATCATTTATTCGGGATTGCGCTTGTCACGAGTTACTGGCATAACCCAATCGCTTTACTTGGCTCACTTATTACCGAATTACGTTGCGAATTTGTCTCATCACGATGACTCGGGTATCGTCGAGCATAATCAGTCTGTGATCCGCCAGCTGGACGGACTGAAACATTTCCCCTTGGTTATTTTTGCTTCGATTGCTCTTCAGGATGGGTCGTAAATTCTGCTGCAAATCTGGCGCCTATTCCTGGTTCATCTCCTGCAATGGTGCCTAGATTGAACGACGAACTTCAGTCATAACTTTCGCTTGGCCGTGATAGCAGCCTTCTTTTCAGAATTTGCAGCTTCGTATCGGAATCGCATGATGTGCTGGTGGACGGTAAGTGAACGTTAAAAGCTCGTTGAGTTTTACAAGGTTTTCGGGCTGTCGTCGAATCGATTTTTCAAGACTTGTCTAGCTATGTACATCATATAATACTGTCTTTTTTTTGTTCTGGTGGCTTCCAGTTTTAGATACTCACTCAATCTTACAGATCCTGTGATGCGTTCATTCGACGGGTTGTGGCTTCCCATTTCCTTCTTTTCTTATCCTTGTTTGATCTAAAGTGCAAGCATTATCTTCAATTTTTGCAGGTGGCGAGCCAGCAAGGGAGATGACTCTACTCAAACTGATTGCATGTACTCTCCTGACAGTCCTGTTACTAGTAAGTTTCAGCGATTGTGCTGACATATGCTCGTGGGAGACTTCTTCTAATTCAAAAAGCTACAGTTTCAATCTCATCACCTCTGTCGGGCATAATCATGGATTACGAAGCGAGGACGGGTAATCTTCCTACTTTATCCGTCGTTTCATAGACCTACATTACAACTCGTTGGTTGTCGTTATGCTTGTCGGGAGAAAAGTAGATATAACAATCACGAAGAAGAATTGGAGCATTGGATGGTTGGTCTGGCCGTGGACAACGCCATACCAGTGTCCTTGGGTAGCGATGCGGTTATAGGCATTCAGACCTCTTCCGGCCAAGTCGGAGCAAATTTTCTGAAGATAATGTGACTATCTTAGAAAATGGCACTCGCAGAGAATGCTCCCGTCCACAATAGACTCACAGTGTTTCGATATTCACGTTTGGAAATTCATGAAACTCACGCTATTTGCTTACATTTGTTACGACAAGTTCAAGGATAGTGATAAGCAAAGCTTCATACAGCAGAACTTCGGTTTTGGGCAATAGGAAAGCGTGTTAACAAACTTTCAAATACTGAGGTACATACACAGTCCTTCAAAAGTCAGTTCCTCTTATGAACTAGATCGGTCTCCGCATTGGAAGAATGCTGGTCATATATATTTGAGCGTGTTCATCGATGGCAAAGATATTATTAAGTGATGCTGAAATCATATCGTATTATTAAACAAGTTACTAGACGCAACTCACATAGTCAAGCTTTGCATTTCAACATCACAGCTGTATGTCAAGGAAAGTGTCTGAATCGACAGGCAGTGTGACCCGCAGCTAGCCCAAGATTACTATCTTTGACCAAAAATTCAGGGTCAAAGGTAGCTCCTGACTTTGGAGATGGATGTCTTGATATAGTTGGTAGCCTCACAAACCCAAGTACTTGTGAAAACAATTACTTGGGTTTGTGAGGCTGTACTTTAGGCGAGTCGACATAGAGGCACTAAACTTCATAAACCCGCAGTGATAAAGTAATCACTTAATAGCATCTACAAATCAACAATTGTTTCTTGTAAAGAAAACCACCTGTTTTGGCGCAGGGTTGCATAACAGTCTAATATCTACTGTAAGCACGGATCGGAATCCTAGATACTTAGGAAGGTCTGTATGATGCTCGCAGTTGGGCTATACACTTCAATCCATCAAGATCATCCAACTTTGTGGAGAGTTCATCGTTGGGCGATAGCAGATTGTAGTCCGTTATTGCACATTCTTAGATTATGTGGACTGTGACTCGCGAAACCCGTCGATGTTTAACACCAAGACTATGTTATGCCACTCAGATTTTACAAGATTTCGGAGAAGGAAGCAGATGGGAGTGTGACAATATTTTGGTTTCAGGTGAACTATATCTCTTATATTTCATGTTTCGAAAATACTTTAGCTGAGCATATGAGCTTGGCTCAAAGTACACAAAACATTAATGTAATATCGTCGATATTGTTTATATGGATTTTGTAATGGTTGTTTCTCCAATTCCAGTCAGAAGCCCATTATGTAATTTTTGTTGCTTTTTTCTCAGCCTTGCGAGCATATGAAGTTTAATTACGATGCACCAATGTGCGACAACTGTGAGGTATTGGACCCTATCTGAATAGATATATGGTTTTACGCAGAAATAGATCTTCATCTTTATCCAGTTAGAGGTTTCCCCCTTGAGATCACAGGCGTGATTTATGTTGTTTACTTTTTGGTCATTTCTATTGAATGCAGTCTTGCGGGGGCCCGTTGCACTGTGGAGAAACTTGTTCAGCCCTTTTATCGACGTCGACTGGTGGTACGGCATTTCTCTACTCTTTACTTGCTCAGCGTAAGAAGATGGCTAAAGTTCATGTTCTCATATTCACAGTTCAAAGTGAGTACAATTCAAAGGCTAGGGTTCCAAAAGACTTCATATCAGTCGATTCTAAAAACGTAATCTACCAGTGATCATTGAGTGATTTATCTGCAATTATTCTCGTGAATATGCGGACCATTTCACGTGATAGCCGAGGTAAACTATAAATCACGCCTCGTAATCATGGAGCTGAACCTTTACTGGAATCCAGTTGGCTTATACATCACACAGGGAGTATGTAATCTAGATGTACCATGAGCCTGCGAGCAGACCTCTCTGGACAATCCATTTCTGGGTTAGATGGATGATATTGCAATCAAGAACTAGTTTTGCCAGTCAGGACAGAGGAAGGTTTGATAACTTATACCTTGCTAGGTTTCGAATCACTATGAAGAAAGTCATGGGCAAAGGCTACTGTCTTCTTCCTCTACCTGCAGGGCATAGAATAATAAGGTCTTTTTGTTGGTTATTTTGCAGGATTTCCTACTTGTACCACTCTTGGATTTGCATCCAATCAGTCCTACTCTTTGATAAGTGAGTACGACGCTTTTCAGCATACCAAGTATTTCGTGCCTACTGAACTTTTGATTGCCTTGGGTTTCTCTGAATTTTTTATCCTTTTCCTACTAGTTTTGAACTAAAAGAGAAGAAGTGTGGTGAGTATATACGTTGTGCTTGAAATTTTTGCTTTTGAAACTAGTGATAATTCATTGAAGAACTTCGGCTGCAGATCCCGATAAACCCGAAGTTGGTGTGACTGTAAGGATGATTGCAGTTTCAACCAAGAAAAGCTGTTCTCTTTCCATAGCTGTTTACTGCAGCTTAAAGAATGAAGAGGTTCGTACCAATGAGAAGTTGAGCCATCTACTGACCTAATTTTTATACGAAGTTCCGACTTAAGAAAGGTGTAAACTGAAGATGCAAAATGTTGACAATTAATTACAAAGTCTATGACTGAAAAGTCATGTTCCTATTTTCTTTCTAGAAGCTAGCATGATGGGTTGACGCTCAATTGATTTTGCCACTCTGTTAAAGATTTTTAAACATCGGATTAAAACATGTATTGATCATCATTTATGCAGTTACCCTCAGTCATTACCAAGGATGCACCAGGAAAATGCGACTATGTAAGTTTCTTTTGCAGTAGTTGTTATTTCTTATCAGGATTCGCTAGCATATGCTCCTTATCACAATTACCTGCTGGTTTATGGCTACATATTGTAGACATATATAGAGTGGAGTATCAGAATTGAACGTACTCAAGAACTATACGTCTGTACAGACGACGAGCATCCATCATTCGGCTGGCTGCCCAATCGTGACATCTGTGAAGGGAGGCGGTATGGGTTGGTTTGGCACTTTGTTGATAGTGTAAGTAATATACATCATTTGCACCAAATCGACGAACTTAGCTTAGGACCTTAAGATTTCGCGTCGAATTTCTGGTTCCAAGCTGATATCGATCTTCTTATATTTCGGTGTTCTCTTGTGAAACTGGCTTCGGATCTAAAGGTTGAAGTTTCACGTTTTCAGGCTACTTTGTGGACTGATAGTCTATTTTGCTGTTGGGATTGCGTACCGAATGACAGTCCTTGGTGTAAGTGGTTTGGAGGTAAGGAGAAGTGCCACTCGTTACCAAGCTTGTCATTGTCATTGCAGAATTTTACTACTGCATTGCACCAGTTCGTCGGAAGCCCATTGTTTTCCGATTATTTGTACTCTTCGGTTTCGTGCATTAAGCTCATATTTTAAGATTGCTCTCAGGCCTTTCCCCATCTGGACTTCTGGAAAGCTCTTCCTCACAATATTCAGGTCAGCATCTTGCTTATATCCTAGAATATTTTGTATTACCTGCAATAGATTTCCTTTTTGATTTTTCATAAAGCCGAAGACGAAAGTGATCAACTCTGTTGTCGTTTTAACACAATTCTCTGGAACTGGGGAAAGTCAATGCTTTAGTCCATCGCCAATACTGTTTTGGTTCCGGTTACCTTAACTCTGACATAAACTATTGTTTTGAGACCTCTTGTTGTTTCAAAATTCCAGATTTCCGAGGCGCAAACCTTCTACTTTTTTATGATTTAATATATGATGTTTCCTTCTTCGATTAAGTTCCTACTTTGTAAACGCTAGATACTGACATACTGTCTGGAATGGATGTTGTGGCCAGTTGGGTTTTGAGGCCGTACAGTCTTTCGTAACGACTTGCTATCGTCGATTTACGGAGCCTACATACACGCGTCAATGAGTAAGCACTGCAACAGGAAATGCCGTGGTCTCTGCATAGCTTGTTCTACTTTCCTTGCTTCAAAATTCTCGGACACTGTCACCATTTTGTTAAAATGGCTTCCAATCTGCAAGGTTCCTCATTCAGAAGCCTACGAAGTGAAAGTGTTGAATGTTTGTTCTCAATATACACAGTCGTGCCGTTCAAAGGCATGTTTCAGGCCACGTTTGTGATGACAGGGCTCTTTCCTGATTTCCCTGGTTGCCTTGACGTGCTCATCAACTTTTTTTCAAGGCCGTTTTCAAGAAATATTCATTGTCACTTCGATCGAAGAGTTTCAATGTAACGAAACTTCGAACCCCATCTCATTTCATAAATACAAAACTTACTCCTTATCTCTTTAAGGTTGACCGTCTGCTTTGAAGATGCATTTTCTTCTTAGCAAGGCTTTTGGTCAAATTCAAGGAGAAATCACTGAAACATGTTGAAAAGGGTTGCCCAGAAATAAGTTCTTCCGTCTTTTATCAAAATGTGCCTAGTACGTTGAGAGTTGCTCACAATTTCAATCTCACTTAGTCCAGCGATCTGTTCTCCACTTTCCGCTATTTTTTTCTACTGAATTCAATGAGACTTCCAGGTTACAAGTTTATCTGAAATTTCTCCCATTTTACCCCATTCTGAGTACCCAGACGAACTTTGCGACATCTGGACATCCTGTTCTAAGGTGCACTTTTGTTGTTGATGTTCAGACCCGATTCGCAATCTATGGGGACTGAACATGACGTAACGCATGAATGCAAGTGTTTTCATCCCTAACTCCTTCGTAGGCGCAACGAAAGGGTTGTGTTTGAGGTTGATTTCTCGCAGACACGAAGAAATTATCCTAATAATAAACAACACCGTCCATGTTGTTGTCTATTATTGGGACTTTTACAATTCAAGGTAAATATTTTCCATGTTAACATTTTCCGGTCTACCGTCAAGCACCTTTTGGTGAAAGTAATACAATAGATTTCAATGATCTGGAGTGGTAATTACAGGACACATGACAATGGTAGTCTTCCAAAATGGACTTGAGGAAGAACAGAGTGAACGCTTATCCCCGTAGCAAGATGATTTGTCTGACCGGAAAAATATACATCTACGGAGATTGTATTTGTGTTATCGTCATTTTATTAAGAATGTGTCTGTAACCATTGTAAACTATTTCCAAACTATTTAATAACCACAATAACTGTTCTCCTTTCTGATAGCACGAACATTGAACTGTCTTTCAAACTAGAACTCTGGATACCGTTCGGCTTCATCTTTGTAGCGCTTGATGCGGACATCACATCTCTTTGGCTATCCAATTGCCCCAATCTTTTAACAAACTCCTGTAGTTACATCTAGATTGCTTGTTGTTCCGGAAGACCTGGAATATCATGGAATAAACCACAGCCCGAACTGCATCCAGTCTTTGACCACTATACGTAAACCTACTGAATTTGGAACTAGAAATCACGTCTCCTTCATTTAAAAGTTGAACTCCCGAACCTATGAACACTAATCATTCGAAAAGCACACCAGGAACTATTATTCTCTTGAGTCCGTCACATTCGCACCCTTGTGTTTTAACCAGCACGAGAATTTCATGTCGCTTTCTTCGTGTATAAGAATACATCTTGTTAATTAGTCATAGTTTAGCCTTATAACAGTTACTTTTAAGGTGCTGCTTGGAACTAATGGTATGAAACCTTCGCACGATACGTCTCCTATTGACAGACCTTGACAGGGAGCCTTTTCTCTGCAATAGCTTGCAAACGGCACAAAATTTGTGTCGGAAGATAGTGGAAACACAAAGTTGTAAGGAAAAACAAATATCAGGATTGGAGATCCACGTCAACTTGCAAATCAAGAGAAAGGATGCAGCATAGGAAATAAAGAATCATGACACAGATTCTAACAGTAAACAAAGCCGAGACCATGTGTCTCTCCAAAGGACAAAGGGGAATGATGTCTACAGAGTAAGTACCATTAAGAACCAGAAAAGTACTGTCCAATGTGTTCACTATGCTTCTTGTCAAGTTTAATAAAACTTCTTGAACGTGCATTTTTAACCATAAAATAATATATATCATATGACTAACTATAGCTACTGCTCACCTAAGTGCAACACCACATTGTTATTATTGAAAAATAATCAGTGACAAATGCGATCATAGTTATTTTTCATGATTATGTTGTGGAAATTAATCCGAATAACCATGCATCTCTATAGAGGAGAGAATTGAAGCACTTTTGTTTGCAAATCCTTATTATTTTAGACCTTAACACTTAAAATTCGTCCTTATCGGTACTACTTCTTGTGGGATTTGTGAAAATCACAACTTCTACTCTAAACCTTAGTTGTATCAGATATAAGATAGCTACACATATGAGGATTATGTACAGTAAAGTTCCTGTTTCGATACTTCATGAAAACTTTCATCAGCTAGAGATATTACTAAGAAAATTTTATCTTGTGTAAACTATGTAATTGAAGACTTGATCTTGTAGATGTGAAACAAAGAAATTATTTTCTAGGCTCGAATAATAATTGACATATTTAGAATCAGTATCCAGACCTATACCGTCAAAAAATGATATTTCTGTTTAATCTTGTCAACGTATGATATTTTTACCCAAATCTAAGCTGATATGATTGAGAACATTTCTTGCTCATACTTACAGATAAGAACATATATGTGAATTGAAGCTAGCCTTGACTTTGTCATTACGAAAAAAGATATTAAAAATATTACCTTTCCTATTGCTAAATAATGTATAAATTTTCTAAATGCAAATATTTTGTGAAGCATTTAAAACCTTTATAAATCGCATCCAGACTCTATGCATATTCTTGCATTTAAACTAGGTGAATAATGAAGGAAGTAAATTTTTTTCATTTACCTTGATTTGATTCCTAAGCGATGATGTACCACTCTAAAGTTTTTTGAATTGATTCTACAAGCTAACATAAGTATTATATTAAATGAACAGCTCAGTAGAAAAATAAAATCTGCTTTATTTTTTTGATAATAGTTTCAAAGTTTCATTTTTTTTATTTTTTCATAAACTTCATAATATATAAAGATATTGTATTGATCTAGATCTCTTATTTTTACATTACAGTTTTTTGTGTAATAAATTCAAGTGTAAGTATAGTATAAGTAAAAACACAATACAAACAATCCAACTCCAAACTAGGAGAGAATCAAAAGAATCCCCTAGCTAGTGCCTAGAACACTAGAACAAAAACTAATAACATCACTCGTAAAATAACCTAAATCATAAGGCTCAAACTGTAGCAAAGAATAAAAATTCTTAACAACAACTTTATGAGCCACACTATAATCCATATATATCTAGTACAAGTAACAAACACATGCTCTTCATCTTCAACTATTTTTCCATCTCATACCCTACAAATTTGTTCACTCCTAGCAATGTTCAACCATCGTCGTTCCTCAATTCCAAGACTATGAAATCATATTCTATGCCGAGCAATAATATGACGTAAAGATGTAGAAATCTTTGCAAGTATACTTGCTCACAATAAACAAGCATATGATTCACATGAAATTGGTAAAACTCCATTTTAGTGCCTCGTCTGCGCCAAATAATGTTGAGTAATTTACGCCTCCTTAATACGCTCGCGAAGGGACATCGGTTGCAAATCTAAATTAAATTCCGTCACATTTCACCTCGAAGACTAAGTCACCACATCTACAAAACATTTCTTGGAACATGTGGCAGACAAAGCTTGAAGAGTAAGTCCAAAAGCAACAAGAGATCCTCACTCTTTTGATGTAAATGATAGTCAAAAAGAGAGCTTCAGCCTCAAGAGGTAGACAACATGTTTCCGCAATAAGAATAGCATATAGTAAATGGTAAATGGTAAATATGAAGTTTGGTTCTCACACCCAATTCTTCTTGTAATAAGATCTTTTGTATCCTCTCCAAACACTACCAATTTGTCTTCTTAGAACCAAGACTCCACACTTGTGTTCCATATAAGATAACCGAAAACACTAAGCTCCAAAATAAGAATTTCCTAAGACTCCAAGACACTAGATGAGATTCTCTACATCTATTTAGCAATGAATATAGAGCTTGGAGACCAGCTTCTAGTCTCTTTTGCACACAAAATGTCCAACTATAATCGTGGAAGAAATCAATGCCTGAATATTTACAACTCATCACTTGTTGCAAATCTAATCCTTTGTAAAAGAAAGAAAGCTTGAATCTAATGACCACAAGAATAATTTTTGACTTCTTAAAATTGAACTCCATCTGATTTTGAGAAGAAAAGTTAGCCAAAGTGTCAAGGTGTTTTTGTAATTTAATGGCATCACGTGCTAGAAATATGATATCATCTGCATACAAAAGAGCTTAGATGACAAAATCTCCAAGTTTGACACCTTCACTTTCACAATACTCTAACCACCTTTCTATATCATCTCTGAAAACTCCAAATAGAGTAGGAGAAAGAATACAACTTGCGATGCCTAGTGTTTTTAAATTTTTGCATAAAGAAGTAATATTTAAACATATTCTCTTTAGAATGTATATGTATGTATGTATGTATGTATGTATATATATATAAGTTCATAGTCGTAGGCGTTAGAAGATCTAATGGAAATTAGGTAACAAGTAGAAGGAAGATGGAATCCGTCTTCGGCCAAAGACCTTCAGATCTTCTGCGCAGACATCATCGGCGACGTATTAACTGGGCCTTCGGCGAAGACCATTGGTCACAATTTGAATTTGCCAGAGGCCGGACAAGAACCTCACACATTGCAAGTGCCAAATTGCACGCGTGTAGGAACCGTTAGGGCGTCAAGGGTAAGCGCACAAAGCGGACATTTTGCGCCAACATTGTGCGAGAGAGAGAGAATTGCAATTGAAGCAGCGAGGAAGACACGACCAGAGACATGACACGACCTAAGAAAACCGCTATGCCAAAATTGGTTCCACTCATGGTGCGCGATGTGGATTTGAGGAAGTCTCGGCGAAAGTTAATCGAGACGCGCATGTATTTTCTACTGTGGTGTTGGAATTGCGTGTCGGCGACAATTTGCAAGGAGATGATTGACAAGAATCGGTTTGAAAGCACCGATCTCCGAGGAAATCCGATGCTTTGGACGCTCAAACATTAGACGAAGGTCTTGGGACCATGCGTGGGAAAAGATGGCGACTTTACATTTGAGAAGGAGAGTGTGAAGGTGACGCGCGCCTAAGAGTTTTGTTACCATTTTTTTGTTTTTCAGCCAGTTTTTTTTGTGTTTTTTAACCTTTTGACCCTTTGAGTCCCCCGGGCTTGATCTATTACCATTTACCATTTACCATTTAGTTCACATTCACGCCACTCTTCAAGAACTCGCGATCGAGCACGAACGAATGGCAGACAGCGAAGTACTGCAACCCAATGAGGCGTGCGGTGACAATAGCTGTGATGCACATCTTACAGCCGCAACGCACAACGTACGTCACAGCATGGCAGGTCGAATTTATTGAACACGCATTGCGAGGGGAAGCAATCCACTAGCGAATA